GCTTCGACCGTGGTCTGAAGCGTCGGAGGATTACCGAAAGGTGTGCTAGGGTGCAGCGCGGGGCTTGCTCCGCTTGGCATACCGTACGGTAATCCGTCCCCTGAAAGGAACTGTGGTCCCGAAGTGGTTCCCATTTGCTTTTTAGGGTTTGTAAGTTGATTTTATCGATTTCCCACAGACGGCGCCAAACTGTTGACGCAGAAAAATGGTTTGATATTTTCCCGCGTAACTTAGTGATTAGGTCTCTTCGATATCAGATGTCCTCGGTAGGGTGTGCGATCTGTAAGAAAGCAAACGCACGGTAATCCTAGGGCACCGGTGCGGTACCGGCCGAAGGCTCTCCGATGCTTAAGTAAGTACGGATTGAATAAGTTTGAACTTCAGACCAATAGGCAGTATGCCGTAAGTTCTGATTGATTACCTTCAAGCTGGGATGGGTGTCCTCTTTTATAGGCCTTGGGAGGTGTGCAATTTGTTGAGAGTTTCGATGTGGGACTCTGGGCGTCAATTGTGAGACTGCCACGCGTCCGGCGGGGCGGGGTTGCCCTAATGTTGCGATCGGTAGGCTTGGTACCGAAGGTGAGTGCCGAAGGGTTGTTCCACGTGCTTGGTATTCATTGTCTGTTCATTTTGGTATAAACACTTACTAACCTTTAGCCAAACATCCCCCCTCAATCTCAGCTAGGCGACCCAGTCTGAGATTGAGACAATGCTTTGAGAATACAGGACCATGTAATCCCTTTGTGAACACATCAACAACTTGATCATCAGTTGGTATGTACTGCACATGAAAATCTTTATGCTAGACACGTTCTCGGATGAAGTGGAAATCAATATCTAAGTGTTTGATTCGTGAATGAAACACTGGATTTGAGCTCAAAGCTAAGGCAGAGAGATTGTCACAGTGTAGTAAAGGAGGCTCAGGCAGAAACTCATGCATATCAGCCAACACTTGACGAATCCAAACAACATCAGCTGTTGTATTGGCTAATGCTCGATACTCGGCTTCCGTAGAGCTATGAGAGACCGAGCCTTGCTTCTTGGACTGCCAAGTAGTTGACCTGCGTGTAGAAGCATCTCCAGCCCAATATGCGTTGCTAAAAGCGCTAAGTTGCATAGGTCCAGGGAAAAATTTGATGCCATACTGTAGGTGCTGTCATGCATTGGCAGACAGAGTTCACAGCAAAAGCAATATCAGGCCTTGTAAAAGTAAGGAACTGCAATGCTCCTACTAAACGACGATACAACGTTGGCTCTTTTAACAATTCACCCTCTGTGCTAAGTACCTGGGAATATGATTTACAGGGAGTGGAACCAGCTTTACATTGAGTCATACCTGCTTTAGCTAACAACTCCTTGGCATACCTATACTGATTCAAAAAGATACCGCCTAAGCTGGGAAAGAAATTTGTAGACCTAAGAAGTAAGTCAACAACCCCAGATCTTTCAATTCAGACACGGAGGACAGATCATCAATAACCTCTTGAATGAAAGCATCACTTGAACCTGTTAAGATAATATCATCGACATATAAAAGTAAAGCTAGAACATCTGATCTAGTGTGTTTAACAAACAAACTCGGATCTGATTGAGACATTTTGAAACCAAGGGCTGGAAGGTATCTTGTGAACTTAGCATTCCATGGTCTTGTGCTTGTTTTAACCCATACAGAGATTTCCTTAATTTACAAACAGATTGAGGCTGCTTAGGATCTTCAAACCCTTGAGGTTGTTTCATAAACATTTCCTCATCCAAATCTTCGTGAAGAAAGGCATTTTTTAATGTCTAATTGCCTTAACTTCCACCCATGCATGGCTGCCAAGCTAAAAATAATACGGACAATAGAGTGGCGCACTACTGGACTAAAAGTTTCTGAGTAGTCAAATCCAGGCTTTTGGCTAAAACCTTGAGCCACCAACCTTGCTTTGTACCTGGCTACAGTCCCATCTGAATTCCTCTTTATCTTATAGATCCACTTACTACCTACCACATTCTTATTCACTGGAGGAGGCACCAATTCCCAAGTTCCTTGCATATGAAGAGCATCGATTTCATCTTGCATGGCCTTAGTCCATTCTGAGGAATAAGAAGGGACTCGATAACTAGTAGGCTCCTTTAAATCATCCGGCAAACTATAGTGCTATAACAATGATAGTCGGAAAAAGGTTTGGTTTGTGTATCCCAGATTTAGATCTAGTCTGCATAGGATGAGAGTTTATTGCAAGTAAAGGTGTAGAGGAAGAAGATTCTGAATTTATACTTGGAGAGGCAGGCCTTGAACTTGGTGGTAATAACACCTCTAACTGATGCTCAGACATAATAGGCAAAGAAACCTGGGCAGAGGATGTATCAAGAGGATTAAAGGAGATGAGATGTTAGGATCTGTGGGAAGAGGAAGACTTGGGGAAGCTAAGACTGAGGGAACTAGAACTGGTTCAGAAGAAGAATTACCTGCTGAGGTTGAACAAGTAACTGACTTTGATGTTATGATAGGTTGAAAAGGATACACAGTTTCATCATGAACCACATTTCTAGATATAACCATCTTTCCAGTAAGAACATTGTAACAAAGAATGCCTTTGTATCCCGTCATATATCCAAGAAACACACATAAAGTAGATCGAGGTTGAAGTTTATTGGAATTTGTGGCTCTCAAACAAGGATAAACAGCAGTTCCAGATATTCGAAGATGCTGAATATCTGACATTGTATGGAAAAGCCGAAAATATGGGGATTGATGAGCTAAAACTTTACTAGGCATTCGATTGATCAGAAACACCGCATGTGCAATTGCATGAAACCAAAACTGTTGAGGAAGACAGGCTGCAGCTAACAAAGTAATCATAGTTTCAACCAAATGTCTATTCTTTCTCTTAGCTAGACCATTTTGCTGAGGAGTATAAGGACATGAAACTTGATGAATAACTCCGCGAGTAAGGAGAAAATCCTTGAATTGATTACTCATATACTCCCCACCCCCATCACTCTGCAAACACTTAATGGAGGTAGAAAACTGATTCTCAACATAAGCATAAAGATGAGTAAACTTTGTAAAGACCTCAGATTTAGCAAACAAGGGATACAACCATGTGAAACCAGTGTATTCATCAATGAAAATCACCACATATTGTTAACCATCTGTGGATTTACAGGAAGAAGGGCCCCATACATCACTGTGAACCCTCTGAAAAGGAAAAGAAGCCTTAACATGGGTAGATGAGAATGGTAATTGGTGCATTTTGCCACTCAAACAGTGAGGACAAACATGCATTGGGGAATCTACTAGAATAGGTAAATTGGCAGACTTGAGCATAGTATGAACAATGTCATTGGTAGGATGTCCTACTCTCTATGAATATTCTAGAACTCTCTGTCTTCTTCTTCCTTCAGCTCTGATACCATGCCAATAGAGCCGAAGGAAGAAGAAGACAAAGAGTTCTAGAATATTCATACAGAGGAATTTAGAGAAAATATTACTTTTGCTTTATGTGTTTCTCATTTAATGAATTCAATACACATGGGATTACAGACTTTATACTACAGCAGAAATCACGTGGATTATACTAACAATCTAACCATAATGACACGTCAGCTAACAACCTTCCTAGCTGACTAACCTTTAGCCAAACACATTTATCACCAGACTAAAACATAACACAGCAACAGTTCATTAAGCTTTTAAGTACAAACCTGAAAAACTCCAACAATAAAAAGGATCAGACCTGAAACCCTGTTCCACACGAAAACCCTTTTGGTTGTCTCGAAGGGTTCCGGTTGTGGAAATTTACAAAATAACAGGCTTCCAATTGAGGGTTTCTCATTACAGATTCTGGGAAATTTTAGATATTTATTTTCCCCAAACCATATAACTAAAGTACATATGGTTTTCCCCAAGCTTATGGTTAGTACACAATATTATGAGGATTTTTTTTTTGGTCGAAAGATACTTCATTAAAAGGCCCCAGAAAAGGCAGGCAGAGGATAAAACAATACAAAGCAAAGCATGCCCAAAGAAAGGCAGCACCAGAAGTAACTAACAGAAAAAGAGCACACAGGCAGAGGATAAAACAATACAAAGCAAAGCATGCCCAAAGAAAGGCAGCACCAGAAGTAACTAACAGAAAAAGAGCACACAAAAACTAGAGACTGGACATTGCAGACAGGTACAGAGTCAAACAGCAGGACCAAACTAAAACCAGCCTAAGCAACAAAAGACCACTCGATCACGTAGGGGCCGGCAGACCGTGTCACGACAGAATAGGGACCAAGGAGGGTGGGGGAAACGTGGCCCACTTACTAAAGCACAAACTCCTTTTGGTAAGCTTAGCGGCAGCATCAGCGATATGTCTGGAAAGAAAGCAAACCTTCTGATGAAGTGTTCACTTGTGTAAACAGAAATAAATAAATAATTAGAATATGCGGCAGACTCTGCACAATGACCAAAGCAACTTGAACTTTTTCAATTCATTCCTCAGACTTCTACTGGCCTTTTATATCAATAATTCTATCATCTAATCATTGATAGAATGATCAGAGACATAAGCATACGTCCAGTAAAATTGCTTCGAGAAAACCAAAACGTCTGTAAAACCATCAAAACTATAGCACGAGAGCATACCTCCATTGGCTAAAAAGAGTTGCCTTAGATGATATTAGGTGCAACTCCAGATGGTTTGTCGAGGAGAGCTTCTCTGATGGTAGTGCCATTGGAACCGCCTGCATCAAGCTGGAGCATTATCTCATAATCATTACACAAGACACTTGCAGCCTCATCCAAGACCGAACAAAAGGAATAAAAATTGAAGTAAAAAATAACTACATTGGGAGAACCATGTTCCACAATATAAACTATGCAGTCCTAAGATATAATATCACATTTCTTTTACACGTAAAAAGCTTGTGCTGATGAACTCAACAGATAAAGTTCAAATGATAAGTTTACACACAGCTAGTTCTATTTGACACTTAACTGAACTAAAACTTTTAGGTAAGTTTTGAAAATGCATGATCTGGAAGATAACTATTTTTAAAGAAACTAAATATACTAATTCTAAGAGGACCACCACGTGATTCTGCATGCAACAGCTTTGAATTCTATTGTGTATATATATATATATATATATATATATATTCATACATAAATAATACATTTCCAAAATGAAACACAATAAATAATAAATATTCATGAACATATTTACAATTTTTGTCCTATGCGGACGTTCATACATTATTATCGTGTGGAAGCCATTCTAAACAACGAGGAAAGTAGGGAAGGGTAATAGAAAATACATGGCGTCCGCACTGCAATAATGTCCAGATGTCCGCCATATATAGGAGAAAATCTAACAGTTATTCTCTCAACTGGATGTCCGCACGTTATTATTGTGCAGATGTCATTGTGAACAGGGAGGAAAACAGAAAGTGGTAGTAGAAAATATATGACGTCTGCACGATAATATCGTCCGAACGTCCGCATATATAATGCTCAAGCACTAATCGGATAGTAAGTTAATAGGGCTAACCACTCGTTCCGGCTCACTCCATAATGTCATCCCATGATCCAAACGGTTCACTTTTTAGGTCATCATTCAAAGATCACCCTTACAAAATTTTACCCAAATGGATCATTTAACCATTTTATTGTTATTGAGAATATTTTTATTGTTTATAGAAAATATTATGTTAGTTTAATTTTTTATTATCACATTTAGATGACTAAGGGCCGTTTGGGAATACTTCTATAGAAGGTTCTTCTGTTCATAAATGCTTTTGTTAGAAGAGTTTTTTTATTAACAAAAGCGTTATTAGAAGAATGTCGAAATTTTTGTTAACAACCCAAGTGCTTCTTGGAAAATCACTTGGAAGTGCTTCCTGAAGAAGCACAATTGCAAGGGTGATCTTCGAATGATGACCTAACAAATGAACAATTCGTATCAAGATATGACATTGTGGAGTGGGTCCAAACCAATAGTCAGAGCCTCACTAACTTACTAACTAATTAGCGCCTCACTAAATTTCTTCCAATAATACGAGTCTTCACAACATCCAACCATGATAACAAACTTTCATCCTGAAATAACCATCTTATAGTAAAATCTTACCCACTATAAAATTATAATCGTAAGTTAGCTCTTGGTTCGGTGGAATGTTCTTCTCAGCAAATAACATCATGTGTGGGATCCTCGCGTCGTCATGATCATGAAGGACACTTCGGGCAAATAGATTAGGAGAACAACTATGACTGACAAATCTTCCCACATTCCCGTGTCGTGTGGCATCAATGACAAACCCCCTTCTTTGTTTAACTTGTTTATCTTGTAGAATTTCTCCTACATACTCACATATAAAACTTCCTTGTGGAATATATGATCGTGATCTGACACCCCATCCTTTGGATTTTGTCCTAAAGACTTCAAGTTTAAACTGAATGCCATGTTGACTAATTCTATTTTTGCAAGAAGAAGAGCACTTACACATAATACCACACTCGTAAATAAGGGATTTCGTGCCTGTTATTGTGTTGTTGTATGACAAAACCCTTGCAATCTTCATTACACAAGGACATGACTTGGATTCTAAGCATCCATGAAGACAATCACAACCCCCCTTTCTTGTCGCCTTGAAGAAATCTGGATAAATGACATTGCATATGTAATTGAAAGCTGGAGGACTCGCCCTATCTACTGCATTGACCACTCGAATAGGACAATATCCTTTGAAACCATAGGTTTTTTTAACTTGTCCAAAGCTTTTCCCCATATGATTATTGGTTGCCCGGAAATCCTTTTCAACAAAAATTTAAACACAAGTTTGCCAAATTCCTCTCTTTCTTGCCAAAAACTCTCTACTATGTAGAGACCATCATAAACATAAGTTCTGAAAGAACTTTTCTTAGCACGTGTACCCACCTCAAAACGATTAATACCACGAATTACCCTTACATGAGTTCCTTCTTCCATGCTGTTCTTTAGTGCAAGGTTTCCACGTTCAAGTCTTTGATCCTTTGGCTTTTTAGGATCAACCCTAGGATTTCCACCTTCACCTGAATAAGTCAAGATATCAGGAGATGCTACATGGTTGGCGTAACGGCCAGAATTAACGATGCTTGTGGCCAAAATTTTCCCATCCTTCTTCATATACTCAATACCATGACGAAAATTATGATGGAGGCCAACAACAGTTAGTTCAGCCCTGTTGCGAAACTCGTCACCAACCTTCACTCCAGGAATCGGACCTAATTGTTTCCTCGTGTTAACCAAGTTTCCTTTCTTTCTCTGACACATTGCTGCTTCAATATCAGGCCTCCAATAAACTTGTTGGTAGGATTCACTATCGTGTTTTTGCAGGAGCTTAGATAATGTCTCTCGATATTCATCCAAAGCCTCCTTGACATGATGAATTACTCCATCTTCATCATCAACTCTCGGCCTCTTTCTGTTGGGAAGAACGCCGACTTTTCGTTTCTCAAGTGTTTTGTCCATAAAGAGCTATGATTCAAATGTATTGCAGGAACGTCTACATAGAAAGTATAAAGTAGGAACAGACCCAACATTAACCAAATACAACAACCATGCTAAACTTAAAAGATAGCACAGCAAAAGTACTCCATAACTGATAGAATACTTGGTTTAAAATTTTGTACAATCATCAGCATTATAATTTAAAGTAGACAAAATTAACGAATACAGAGAGTGATTATTTATTAACTTAAATAGCAACACACTACGGTAAAGAAAGGTACGTAGAACAAAATATACGAAAGATGTAATAACTAAATACATCATCAAACTCGAAAAATTTGCACGAGAATTGTTCTAAAAAAAACATTTACTTCCAAGCGAAGTAATTAAACTGCTCTCTCCGAGGTCAACAAGGAAACAAGTTACCACATTTGTCCCTCTTTCTTATATGAAAGGCAACCCCTCATTAATTATTCTTCATGATTGGTCAATTTACATAGATTCTCAGATTAACCCTTGACCTGAGTCCTAATTACAATTAGATAGTTCAGATCAGAGAGACGATTCTCAAGTTACATGAAGACCTAAACTGAAGGATTTCTTTAAAATCCTTCATCAATATTTACCGGTTACAATGATATATGCTAGACTGATTTTCGTTTGAAAAATCAAGCAGAGTTTAAGGAAGTGATTTATGACACGAAACAAAAAAATAATAATTTAAATAAATAAATAACACTGTACATTCTCAAATTTATAAAGCAAAGAATATCTTGGAAATAAGAAGAAAGAAAAAACCTCGCACCAGTCGCTGGCTCGCTCTCCTTGTTTATGTTTTGAAATTGGAAGTTGAGCGGTTTTGACCATAAGTTCAGAGCGGTCGTCTGTTCGGCTTCTGTTTGCGTCGGTTTATATATGGGCCTTCGGAAGTTAGAAGAGTGTAGGGTTTCTTAATCCGCAAGTCTCTGAAGGATCCTAGGAAGTCGCGACTTTCCTGATTTGGACACTAGGAAGGAATAGTGTTACACAGACGCCAACTAAGAAAATTAATTTAAGAGAAATTCAATTTAGAGTCAACATTGCTATAAGCAATTAAACAGTGAGGTGGCAAGTTATAAATAATAATTAGAGAAAAAACAAGCAGATGGTCCGGATCCATATTACAAACAGTGGCAGAGTTAGGAATTTATGTGTTGGGGGGCCAATATATAGACCGAACAAGACATTAAAAAATTTTAATTTTTCAACGTTAACAATGTTTGGAAAAATAAAATGCAGAAAATAATTATTTATTCAATTAGGTATCAAAATAACACTCGTCGTTCCTTCATATCTCGAAAACCATCTATGAGATACAAAAAAAATAAAAAATAAATCATATTCTATGCATAAAACATATAAGATATGAAACATATATAACTATAACAATGAAAACTTCAATTTTCACTCATATAAACATATACAAATATATTCTCATGAAAAATAAATAAACAAAGGAAAAAACTATGACTATGTAAAGTTATCCAACCTGGAATTAAAAATTTTGAAGCAGGAGGTTGGAGAGCAAACAACCAAGTTCAATTATTTTCTTTTGATGTGTGCGGCTCCTTCAAATTAAGTTCATGTTGCTTCATATAGGAACAAAAATTAAAATCCCAATCCTTTTTTATTTGGGTAAAAGTCTACTTCCTATTTGATAAAGGAGATTTTTTGAAACTTTATTTGATTGGCTGCTTTCATTTGTTTATTTTTTATATTGATTGGCTCCCATTTGAAGAAATCACTTAGTCTTTTTTTTGGGGTAAAAAAATCACTTAGTCTTTTATTTGTAAAGAGAAACACATCTTTTCTTTATTGTGAGGGGGCCACAAGAAATAATTATTATATATACTTCCTAAATCAGTAGAAAGCAAAGACCAAATATTAAATTGTGTCAAAATTTTGGGAGGGCCCAGGCCCTTCAGGCTTTAACAAGCCATAAAACCAAAAGTACTCTCGAAATAATGACAG